ATCGAGAATAATAAGATCAGGAGGTCTACCGATACTCGCTGGAAGCAGCTATTCAGGCTAGTTGTTGGACGAATTTCGGCCAAGGTGATAGAGCATACAATAGACGTCTACAACCGCTATCGGCCAGCAAGCGATGAGAAGCCGCCGATTCCTCCACTTTGCCGCTGTAATTCGAAGAATACAGCAGGGTTCCCATGCATTCATCTCATCATACAGTACGAAGAAGAGGGGAAGAGCTTTGAGCCTGAGTTATTTCATCAACACTGGCATTTGTACAGTGTATTTGCACCTCCTATTAACCCGCTACTCCTACTCCAGGATCCTCTCCAAGTGCGCCGGCGAGGGCGCCCCCGAGGCGCTAGGAACTTCATCAGCGGCGGCGAAAGCACCCAAGCAAGCACCCAAGACACCTCCACCCAGCGAGACCCCTCCGGCTTCGAGCTCATGCTATCTCAGGTAGGGCTCCGAAAGGAATAAATGAATGCGAATATAGGGCATATTCATATTCGCACCCCGCGAATATGAATAAATGAATATCGTATTCGCGCGAATAAGCGCATTATTCATATTCGCATTCATATTATTCATATCATGCATTTTGCGCGCATTAATGGATCTTCCGTTTCCCCGGTTTTTGTATTACAGAAATACACGTTTCCACTAGCCAACTTGTATTTCAAGTGCGATCACAGCCTCGGTCAAGCATAAGTAGAAAATATTTCCCATGCAATCCATGTTCTGAAGTATATACCCTATATTGTAGGGCTCGGTAAGCTCTATGTATTCTGCGTCATTATTTTTCGTGATTTTTTATAGGTAAATGTCTAGTTTTGGTGACCAACGGTTGCTACAGAAAGTCGAGCGAAATTATATATATCTACAAGTCGTCTTTCCACATCTTTGCTGCTCTAGTTAAATCGACTACCATAACTTCTCTTGTTCCCACTCGATCTACTCCAAAGTTTAGATTTATTATAACCATGACTATTGGCACGTAAAAACGCGTTTATCATGCCACCTTAACTCACTTCTCATGCAGGTTACAGATTGTTTACCATGAGAGTCGCGAGCGAGAAACCGCCGCGTGTAAAGAAAAGACCTATCAACTTTCCACTTTACTGGGATTGCATCAGGCGAAAGCACAGCTAGTGTTTCCCCATCATTGTTTCATTCTCACCGTTCATTTCCGACCCGCCATGCTATCAAGTATTGTCGAGTGATACTAAAGGTGTGCCCCGCCTCGCTCCCAGGTACCACTTGGACTACTAACACTGGGCAAATACAGAATGGCATCCTCACCTAACCCATTTGTGCGAAAGACGCGTGGTCTTCCGCGTCGCGACTACAATGCTCTGAACAATGGCACACCCTCCCTACTCCCTGAGCCATGGGAAGGAAATATTCGTGAAATAGAGAGCCCCTGCTCGCCAGCACCATCCGAGTTTACAGGAGGCGAAGAGGCGTCCCCATCCGTGCGGTCCTTACCCATTCCCAGGTCTTCGCCCGCACCGCTAGATCCCACGCTATCAGGGTTGACTAGCAGTCAGAGTAGCCCACCGCCTTACAAGAGACGAAAAGCCAAGTCATATTCTAGCTGGACCCTCGAGCATTTCTGGATCACAGAGCTAGACAACACCTGGCGTCGAAAGGGTGGGCCACCAAAGAAGGATCGGCTCTTAGTCTGTAGGCAGTGCAGTTGGTCATCCAGGGATTCGGCACGCTATGGCTCCACTTCGAATTTGTTGGCCCATCTCCAGGCTAAGCACCGCATCAGTTCCGGATCAGACATCACGTCATCGTCAACTATCGGAACGACCCTGGACAGTTTTTTGACACCTGCAAAAGAAAGGGCGGGCCTTGAACAAATGCTGATACAATGGGTTGTCCAAACGAGACAGCCGTTTACGGTAGTGGAGCATCCGGCATTTAGGGCACTTTTTGAAGCGACAGGGGCTATATTACCCATCAAGACGGCCGACACTCTCTTCAACAGGATCAAGGAGGAATTTCGCAAAAACCGGACTTGCGTGAAAGAAGAATTAGCCAGTAGTAGTCGCACGCTTGCGCTGTCTCTTGATGTTTGGACATCGGAGAATCAGATAGCGATCATGGGCATCATTGGCCATTGGATCTCACCCGAGTTTGAGAAGCGGGAAGAGCTTCTGGAGTTTACTGACATATGTGGACCGCACTCTGGGGAGAACCTTGCGGAAATTGTGATTAGAATGCTTGAGGAACTAGACGTCGCGCCAAAGCTCCTCACAATTACGGGGGATAATGCTGCCAACAATGGAACTCTCTGCGACAGTCTTCACGCCGAGCTTCTCAAGAACTATGACGATAAAGACGACCAATTTCGCATCAGACCTCTTATGCGGTTTCGTGGACGGCAGAGCTTCATTCCTTGCCTTGCCCACGTCATAAATCTCATTTGCAGGGACGTACTCGCTTCCCTGAGGGCCGGCTCAGCTCGAGAGGCGAAGGCTATACTGGACGACATGGCCACACAAAGTAGCCCAACATTCACCTCTGCCCACAGCACGAAGGGAGCAATCATGAAGATCCGGCTGCTGACCCTATGGGTTGCCCGCAGTCCACAGCGCCGCCAAAATTGGAAAGATGTGTCACCAGCCAAGCAAGTGGGCTACGATGTTGACACTCGATGGAACTCAACCTATATCATGATAGCGGACGCCCTTCGGCTACAGAAGGAACTTGGACAATTTGTTCGGATGCATCCAGAAGTTCACGCCCTTCAACTAAACGAGAACGAATGGTCGATTCTTCAACAAGTAGCGAAGGTTCTTAAGCCATTCTGGGATCACACCAACTCCGTATCAAAATCTTGTCCCACGATTGTTGAGAGCTTGCCTATCTATTGGAGTCTAGACGACCTCCTTGACGAGGTTCAAAAAGCCGAAGGTGATTTTGAAGGTGTGGATACCGAGATCCGGGATGCGGTGGAAAGAGGAATCCAAAAGATGAACAAGTTTGCAAGGAAGATGGACACCAATCTTCTTTACTACGTGGCTTCCGTCCTAGACCCGCGTATTAAATCGTCTTTGATTGGATCGCAGATGAGCGAGCAAGATGCGGGACTGATCATCTCTCAAGTGCGGGAGTTCCTAAAGAGGGAGTATCCGCAGGAGTTGTCCATGTCGTGTGTAGTGGATCGCCCGCCGGAAATGTCCGAGACTATGTGGAGGACGCTGCGAAAAGTACAGCCATCACAGCGGACGCTTCTTTCAGACATTGATAGATATCTAGACGCGCCACCGGTGAGTTGGTCCCACCATATGATTGACGATGCAGACGAGGAATGGGTTCTCAAATGGTGGAAGGCGAATGTATTTAGCTTTCCACTCATGGCAAAGGCAGCCCGAGATTACCTGCCAATTCCATCAGCGGAGGTAGGGATTGAACGCGAGTTCAGCAATGCCAGGGATGTATTGGGGCTCAGGAGACACTGTCTAAATGCGGAGACTATGCGGTGGCTTATGCTACTGAAGGGACAGTATCAAAAATAGCGTTCCAAAAAAGTGATTGTGATAATATTAAGATTTATGGGAATGTAATATCTTAGAGATGGTGAACGCATTTGTTATAGAGTCTTAGGCACATGAAAATGGGTTCCTGTATTGAGACGTAACAACATGAACGGTAATGTATGCTCTCTCAGTATATGAATAAATATGATCATTCATGAATATTCATGAATAATGCAATATGAATAAGTCTCTTATTCATATTCATATTATGCAATTCATATTATTCATATTCGCAAATATTCATGAATATTCATGAATGATCATATTCCTTTCGGAGCCCTAATCTCAGGAAGGTGGACGTGGCAGAGGACGTGGCAGAGGACGTGGCAGAGGACGTGGCAGAGGACGTGGAGGGACACAACAGGCATCGCAGGGAGACAACGGGGTGGGAATAGCTTCATCTACGGCCCAGGAAGCTCGTACGGCATCGCCAGCGAGCAATCCTGCTTCGCCGAGCGTGGGAATAGCTTCATGTACGGCCCAGCGCGAGGATTCCTGGCCCGACCGCCTCAGGAAGCGTCGGGGAGCTCCATAAATGGCTGATCCATTGCAAATTACTCAAGTCCTTCACAATTCTCATGCAATTTATCAAGAAATTTGACCCAGAATAGCTGGATTCCTTCATTTCTGCAGAGTTTTTGAAAACAGCATCTATTTCCTATTCGGGACTAGCGCCATGCAGTTGGCATGGTCGATGGTAGTAGAGTACGAAGGTGACTTGAAATTTGCTAGGGGCTACATAGTAAATGGAAGTACCTCGATTTGATGGTGCCGGCAGGAAATACTGCCGGCAGAAAGAGTTGATGCCTGACTTTCCAGGCAGGGGGTGGTGTTAGCATCCAAAGGGTGGTGTCTGTATCAATCCCCTATTCTTAAACCATTATTTACAAGTTCTTCCTAGCCTGCTCTTGTAGTTCACTCAGGACCCTTTCTATTTCAGCGTCCTGGTCTTCAGCAAGCGTGTCAAAGCGATGTGTGCATGACGGGACTTGCACCCAAGTTACGCCCTACTAGATTACTTGACCCATCTTTGTTTCGACCCTTCCACTACTGTCACATAACATGGAGGGACAGTGCCGCAGCAGTCCACCAAGAGTTAAATGAGCTTTCAGTTCGCTGGACAGAAGTGGGGCTATAGGGAGCTTGCCCATTTTCTCCAACAGAAAAGGAGATGAAAGAGCACTCTCGAGACTATGCGGATTTCGAGACCTTCCAAAAACTTAAATTATGGCTAAAACGCTCCCTCCATACGAACTCCGACGGGTGGGTTTCGAATGATAAATGGGACGCTGCGAGAGACGCCCATCGCGCAGCGTATGACGAATGGATGCAGACGGCTAGACTCTAGCCGCTAGAGAAAGTGTGCGTAATCTCCTTCACTAAATCTGCGATCACATGATAAAAATGCCAAGGATCGATATCCGCCAATTAAACAATGATTTGTTTCACTATTCATTTGAAGTACATTGTCGCTGGGTGTTTGCATCTTCCCCAAGTCCGTGGCATACTGCGCATATTACGACGGTGCTTAACTTCCTCCACCAAAGTACGGTTAATCTGGTTAGATGCTATGAATCTTTCCACAAACTTCTCATTTCCTTTCGCCACTTGATCCTCAAAAATTTCTATCGCTTCCTGCATCACTGTTCTGAATTCTGCGACCTGGATTTCCAGAGGTACAGCCTCTTGGTCATCCTCCTCATCCTGCTCCGACTCACTTCCTGAGGAGTCTAATGGTGACGCGAGGGTGGTGTCTTGCATTTCGATGTTTCCATGCAACTTCCGAGTGCGGAGTCCCTCTCTCGACGCAAACTCAGGTAGCAGAACCAATCGTTCATCTTTCCAGAAAGGATAGACCGTCTGACGACTAACAGTTTCAAAAAAGTCCGGACTAGGGGACTCAAAACAATGAACAATGTGTTTGCAGATAAGGAAGCGACTGTGCAGGAAGGATTTGCATGAACAAACCCAGTTGACCGGACTTGTGTGGTATTCCTTCAACTTGTCGGGGTCGACGGTTTTAGAGGCCTCTCTTCGCCACTGCTTCTTAAATGCCTCTCTCCATCGAGCTTTGAATATGCGGAACTGCCCACTGGAAATAGCTTTCATTCGATGGATAGCATCTGGGAGAACTCGCGATGCCAAGACCCACACCACCAGGTCAACTCGCGGCCGATTGAATCGATGAAGATAGTCGTGCTTCAGTGTTCGCCAATGCGACTCCACGATTATTGTTGTCTTCACCACCGGGATCTCAGTAGAGTCAGCAGCCCGTGCCCACAACTTCCACTGGTTAGGGCAGTACCAGTTGACATACAGATAAGCCCAAAGCCGGTAATACCCTCGGGCCTTACACCAGGTATGTATCTCTGCCGCACATTCACGATGCAAAGTTGTCGAGCACTTGTAAGTGCCGTTAGAATCAGGGATAAGAGGATGGAGGTTAAAATGTCGGCAGAAAATCTCCAGAACCGTGTCACGGTCCTCCTTCGTGGCGTGCTCAAGTCTCCCCATTTCACTGATTTTCTCACCCTTTGACGGGCATGAGCAATCGCCAAATCTATGGCTCACCGGTCGGCGGACCGGTAGCGAACCCCAGCAGATCTCCAAGTCTGGAATCAGCTTTTGAGCCTCCTCGGGCCGGTAATGATTTTGGGTGTTGGTGCTTTTGGACGAATTGAGTTTCGTACCTACGGCCCGCTTGACATGCCAGTAGCAAAGCTGAACTTTGACCCCAGGCCATACGGTGGTGACCGCTGCAAGTTCGGAAGGATCCTTATCAACCGCGACGCATCTCGGATTGAATCCGAAAATTTTCAGTCGCTCCAGAAATTGTTGAATAATGTATGTCATCGCCCCAGGATCCGCACGGACGGGTTTCCCCTCGGCTAAATTGGCCTGCGGGGGCTTTAGCAGCTCGACCAGACAATATGCAAGCGGAACACCAGTACCTTCAACTTCAGCTAATACCGCGAATAGATCCATCCCGCCACTGTTAGTTCCAAATGTCGAGTCCATCACCAATTGTGGGGCTGTATTGCGAAGCTTCTGGATAGGTTCGGACGCGAAAAACCCCAATGCCCTCAGGTTTCCTGCCGTGAAGATATCGTGGTGCTCGCGATAGTGACTGTTTTCAGAAAGAAGCATGGTAGCCGAAATGAAGGGGTCTAGGTCTCGCTGCCAGATTTCCGCGTTCGCTTTCTGCCAGAGATAGTAGACTTGATGTCTAGTCACTGGTTTTCCTTCCGGAATCTGTCGAATCTCGCGGTATATTTCGGATGGAGTTTTGGTCGATACAGGTGAATTGATAAGGTCTTGCACAACTGGTGAAAGTTCGATGTCCTCATAAGGTGCATGCCATTGGTGATGGATCGAAAGGGACATGGTTCGATTTTGTAAGCATGGCCGTATAGTGAGCTTGCTTTGGCATGGAAATCGCGTCATACGGCGGCCATCCCGCTGCTTCCCGACCTCTACCATAGGTCGATAGCTTTTAGCACGCATCAGATCCTGAGAGCAGTGGTACTGGTATGTGCAACTTTGGAAATTCGTTCCCATGTGGGTGAACCGGAATCCCCCTCGTTTCCAAATCAAGTCCGTGAGATCGCGCATAGCCCCGTTCATCTCGGATCTAGGATATGTGCCACGGTCGACATCGTGTTCACTCCCTCCTACAGTTTCTGTGACACGTACAGAGCCAAACTGGACTGGCAGAGTATCTAAATCGAACAGGTAATTCCCGTTCAATACCGGGGGCTGGTTCTGAGGCAAACGGGTTAGTATCGCGTCAATAAACCCGGACTTCTCGGTCCTTGGTTCTGGATTTCCTTGCCCGTGTTTTCCAATTGTGAAGAAGCTGAGCAAAATTGCCCCAATCGTCAAACTCCAGAGAACGTTTCTGGCTATGACGCCTGCAAGTTTTGTTCCGTTTCCCTTTCTTGGTGGCTTCAAATTCATCTGCAGCATAGAATTTTGCGCATTTGCTGCAAAAGACTTTGTTTACAGCACTTTCTTGAGGGTCCATGGTGGAGGAGGATGACAACAACAATGGTGTAACTAGTTAGTCATGAAATATTGCGTGTGTAAACAGAAACCAAAACGGGAAAGGTTGCGTTGGTGACTAATCTAAAGTACATCACATGATCGCAGATTTAGTGAAGGAGATTACGCCCCCATCACTGACCTGTAGTCACTTCCTCGGGCGCACTAGTAAGATTGCAATCATCTTTATCGAGAGCTTGAATAACTTCGAATACGAATAGAGGAACTTAGTTTTTCTCTGCACCCCTAATAAGCTTGAACTTGCAGGGGACATGAGAACTTATTTCGTTCAAGAGACAAAACGCAGCAGAACTTGTTCAAGATGACATTCGCATACTGTACCGATTAGCGCACGTAAACAGCTGTACCTACTATTCCGCCAGACTTGTTAAAGATAAAAATCAATCGCCAAGCCCTTCTTCCTATCCAGAAGCTTGTTTTAGAACTGAAATTTCACATGCCCTCGCACTTGCACACCACATAGGTGGAGCAGAGGTTCTTGACGCCTCCCCCGAAAGAAGTGTATGTTTTCTCAGCGTTCATGCTGACATCTAGACGTGGATCTTCGGTGAACTCGCAGACTGTGGTCTGCTGGAAATCAGTAAGCATGGCACTTGAGGCGAAGACAAGGCCTTTTTGTGCAACTGCAGTGTGGCCCCAGAGCTCCTGAGCAGGGCGCTTCACGCCATCAACGGGGACAGCAACGTTGGCATTGGCACCAGATTGTTCGTTGGCGAGCTGGATAGTGGCAGGCTTGACCCAAGAAGGAGGAGCGGCAAGGTCGGAGGAGGTGAGGAGGCCAAGGACGAGAGCGGTGACATTGGTGAGCTGCATTACCAATTATGAAGCGTTTGTTTCTTTTTGGAGAAGTTGATGTTGAATTTGCTTTGGAACTTTCAAAATATTGAAGGAAATGATTTGATAAGGGGATCTTTGGTCTTTCTGGTGCGGGTTTAAAGTTGGGTTAGACCGGGTTAATATAGACTTTCTGTTTGCTGGTTGCACTTGAATACTTTTTATTAGTGCAAGTCATCTAGCTGAAAGCATCGCGATTCTCCGTCTTCGTCGAGTCTTTTCCTAGGCGTGGATGATTGTCTTGGGCAACCCGGATCAAGTCTGGTGCTGGTGCCGCATTCTGTATAAATGGCCGTAGCTAGATTGTTCCACTCACGCCCCCCTCGACTCCTCCCGAGGAACCGACCCATCATTCTCCGCCGCTTCCTTCTCTTGAGGAGTTTATCACATCACTGGTTGCTCGCTCCCATGTCCAGGTGCCGAATATCATGAGTTCGCTTGTATACTTCGGCCGTCTACGTGCCCGTCTTCTCCGAGTCCCAAAAGGGACGCGTTGCTCTGTCCACAGAATCTTCCTTGCCTCTCTCATTCTCGCTGCCAAGAGCCTGAACGACGATAGTCCCAAAAACAAGCAATGGGCACGGTAAACTCAGGTAAAGGGATATGAGGTATTTGGCTTCTCCTTGGCAGTGGTTAACAATGGAGCACGAGTTGCTCTTTCTCCTCGACTGGGAGACTCGTGTAACAGAGAAGGATCTTTTCATCTATCTGAGACCTCTTCTAGCCCCTATCCGTCAACGCCTGCAGGCCCAGAAGTGCGAAAGAAAAATCGAAAAGAGGGGTGGAGGATGATCTTCAACGGAAGCAACAATATCGCGAACGGTTAGCACTCATAGTACTTCTTATTTCTTCTATTCAATATTTCCGAATGAGTTTGCGAAGGCGTCATCTTCGTGATTCTACCAATATTATGGTTGGTCACTTCAGTCACTACCTTGGGGATCGAATTAATAGAACAAGGCTTGCTTTCAAAACTTCCCGGTCTCTATATCTATGTCCCAGCATCCGCAACAAACAATTTTCCCCATTCCATCGCAAAACATGATTACTATAGTTCTTACCACCGCAACCAGCTACTCCCCATTATTCTGGTCGCTCTATCTCGCCTGAATTCATTAGCGATGTCCTGTTCTCTCATACCTGATATAACCCATTCACGTTCAGATGCTGTCTTCGACTTGAGATTTGTCTCTTTGCGCTCAATCAACAACGCCACGGTCACAGCCTGGTCACAGTATTGGACTACTCCTTCAATGGCGGATTTGCTAGCCCGGTTGCAAGCAATTGTCTTTTGCGTGTCTGCGTCCTTGGTAGCATTTCTTGTAGCTCATCAGACCAGCTAGCTAGGAATGAATGAGAAACCCATAGAAAAGGGCCCGACCAACATCTCATCGCCTATTACGGCCAAAGGGGCTCCCAACGGAATTTGAATTTTGGGAGATGATTACTTGTGATTGTGACCGTATTAATGCTTTAGTGTTTTATGTCAGGATGAGGAATTAATGTACTGGCTAGTACTGCACATGTCCAATAGAATCTGATGATTGATTGAAGGTGTGTAGATCGGTTCAGCGATCTCTGGAGTCTACTGTCCGTGCTCTGGCGTGTTATGACACCGTATCCGAATTTAGCCCGAATACCATACAAATACTAGGGGAAATTGGGTGAACGATGAACAAGCCTATCCCAAAAGGCCATAGCGGTATTTGACCGCTCCTTTAGTTTGTCACACCCCCCAGCGTTCGCACAATTCCAACCTCTTCTTGTTAATCTAGCAGATTTCCAATATCCTCAATGCCCATCATTTGAACGAATTCTGCATGCTTCTGACGTGGCAATAGCTTGGTGAGTCCGTCCGCAGCCATACCCTTCGTCTCAGTCCATTTGATGAGAATCCTGCCTGCCTGGACCTCCTGACGAAGCCAGAGGTGGTGTATATCAACATGACGTAGCTTCGTCCGCAGCTGAGGAGCTTCCTTGGTGAGAAGCCGAATTGTCTGTTGATTATCACATCGGATAGCAAGCTCGTGCTTTGGATCAAAGCGAACAGCCTCAAAGAGGCGTTTCCACATGCTCATAGTCCTCGCAGCCTCAGAGATCGCTAGCAGCTCCGCTTCGGTTGTGCTAGTAGTCACCGTGCGCTGTTTGCCAGCTCTCCAGTCAACAGGTCCTCCAAAGATCTTGCAGATATATCCCTCCGAGCTCTTCCGGTCAGGGTTATCGGCGAACGAGGCATCACTAAAGAGAGTAACGGCTTCATCCTCCTCGGATTGGCGTGGGCGATAAGTGAGGGCGTGGAAGCGTGTGTGATAGAGGTATGATATCACGCGGTTGATGGCTTCTAGATGGTCCGGACCCGGATTCGTGAGGAATTGAGCTAATGTGGAGGTTGCTTTGGCTGCATCTGGCCGTGTGATGGTGGTTGCATATTGAGCGGAGCCGACCTTCTCCTGATACTCCTTAATCCGTTCACTTGTGGCTTGCCCAGTATACGGCTTTAATGTAGCTGGCGCAAGGGGTGTATCAAAGCGACGATGGGTGGTAAGGTGATATCTGCTTGCCATAGAGGAGATGTATGAGTCCTGACAGAGCCAGAGGGCCATCTGCTGTCTATCACGGACTATACGAATCCCAAGGAACCATGAAGCTTCACCCATGTGTCTCAATTCCCATGCGGTGTTAAGCTTTTCTCTGATCTCAGCCGCGCGCTGGCGCTGAGATGGGTGATTGACGACAATTATGTCGTCTACATAGAAGAACACAATGATACCGTCTGCTGCGAAGAGACAGAGGTCTTCTTGAACGACTTTGAGACCTAGTTGGGTCAAGATCCTTGAGGCCTCGCGCTGCCAGAGCCTCGGAGATTTCCGTAGGCCATAGAGAGCTCTCAGTAGCTTCCAGCAATAGCCAGACTGCCTAAAACCCTCGGGCATCTCTGTTATCACCGTTTCGTCTAGCAAGCTATTTAGGAAGGCGTTGACAGCATCAAATTGATGTGTATCAAGGTCAAACGCAGGGACCAAGGCGAGGACGGCGCGGGCCGTCCGTGCGGCGAGTGTAGCTGAATACTTCTCTTCTGTAGAGAGTTTCTGGAGGTCTCCTCGCACACAGATTCTCGCCTTTAATTTCACGAGATATCCGTCACTATCGAATTTATAGTTGAAGACCCACTTCAATGGGAGGACCTGCACGCCACGGTCGTTCGGACGCCGTATAACCTCAAAAGTGCCCTTCCGTTCGATGGTTTTGACCTCAAGTCCAGCAGCTGCTAGGAAGCCTTCGTTAAACGGGTGATTCAACATCTCTCTCCAAGATTGAGGCTCTGGGGGTAGATCATCGCGGTGTGTTCTCGTGTGTGAGTAGGATCCGTTGAGGCCAGTTGCGAAGGCAGCGAGTACACCCTCTTCGTCGTCGTCCACTGAGAAGGCTAGATTACTAGTGTCTCTGGAACTTCGCCTGCGTGAGCCAGACACAATGTTGCGAGATGAGATATCTCCCACGATGTCTCTAGGTGCCGTACGAGGCTCTGAGGCTTGCGCTGGCTGAACGGGAGGCGTGGGTGACGGTGACATCATTTGTTGAGTCTCCACTAGTTGCGAAGTAGCTTCTTTCTCCTGGGAAGGCGTATCCAAGCTCTGTGGCTCCGTCACCTGCGAGCCCGCGTTGACTGGTTGAGGAATATCCAGGTTTATTCCGGAGGCAAAGGTGCCGTGGTCGATATCCTCATT